ATGGAAGGATTTTGAATGATTTTTTTGCTTTTCTGGCTTTATTTTATAAGCTGTTGCATTAAGCACATTTCATAATTAAATTTTGGTACAAATGTGATGTTAAGTTAAATACCAATATTATAATTAATGAAAATGCTGTTTAAATAAATTTATAAATAATGAAAATTATGCTATGTTTAAACAAATATAAAATATTACAAATGATTCTTTTCCTGGATAATGTAGGCTTTTTATAACTTTAGATTGCCCCTATTATTAATTAACTCAGTTTTGTGGGTTTTTTTCCTGTTTATTCTGCTCAGTGACTGTTTAAATTGTTTGAACAGTGAAACATGAACCTAGCAGGTCCATTCTTTGTGCAGCTTCAGATGGATGGTGCTAAGTCTGTAGGAAGCTAATGATGACGAACTAGTGTGACGTTACTCAAGATGAGTCATGCTTTTTACTCCAGTTATGTGCATATGTTTCCAATAAGGACTTCCTTGCCACAGTAGAAGATGACTGACTCTATCATTTTCATATATTACTATATTGGACATTGTTGAAAGTAAACATTTTCTCCACTCTGTAGATAAGAAAACTAAGATTTCGATTGTAAAGAGTCTAAGATGTGAAAGGAGAATTCACAATTCAAGGAGGAACCAGACCATAAACCAATAACCAAATATGCTCACCTCTGCGAGGTTTTATTGGTTGGTTCAGTGGATGAGCTAATGCAGCCTCGTGATCCCTTCCAGCTCTGTTATGATGCTGCCTAATCATTTTCCTAACCTTTGTGTCAGCAAAATAGTTTCTTTATGCATCATTCTCACAATAGCAGGGCCAGAAAGGGGATGATCATCACTCATATTAGCTCCAGCTTAAGAGGATCATGGTCAAGGTCTTCAGTTCTGTAAAAAGAGCAAAGACTGAATGGGGAAGGCCTTATCTGACCAGTACCAACTCCACAATGGGGTACTGCCCCACATAACAACAGCTCCAAGTCCCATGGAGCGAAACATGTCCCTCACACACTCACACCTCTTTGTACTCATCCCCACACCACACTTAACACTCTACTGGGCCCATCCATAGTGATAGCTCATAGGCCACACAGATGTACATTACGGAAAAAAATTGCTGCAGCTATAATTTAGCTTGGTAGTAGATACAATCACTCAATCAGGACAGCTTCCAATATATCTTTACAGCATCTTATCCTGCAGCCTCACAGCTTTAGGCCTGTGTTACAAAGCCCTTGTGGTATATTGGAGGTGGTGGTAGTGTTGGAACCGACCTATAGCTGACCCTCCTCCAGTGGGTTTTCAGAGGCAGCTTAATTGCACAGGAGGAGATTGCCCATCTTTCTCCTGCAGACCAGCTTGTTGATTCAAACTATATGCCTTTGGGATGACAGTGCAGCTCCTTACCACTAGGCCACCAGACCAATCTTTGACCAAACTTGGACAAAGCTCTTAGTTCTGGTTCCGTGAGGTAGCAGTCCTAAAGTCAGCTTTATCTTATGCCAGGTCTCTGGTTCTCTGCTGCATCTGCTGTTCCCCTTTAGATCTGCCTGGCTTGAGAATCTTTCTGGCCTGGGAGGGCACACTGCATTCTCTTGTCTCTTTGCAGGGGTTAAGAGTCTCAAAATCTAGGGAGCTCTGGTGGCCTACTGGCAAGATGCTGCACTGCCATCCCAGAGGTACACAGTTCAAATCCACCAGATGCTCTGCTGGAGAAGGTGGGGGCAATCTCCTCCTGTACCAGTCAGATCAGATTTGATGGTACACATAAAAATAATACAATAAAAATTTAAAAAAATTTAAAAAAAAAAGAGTCTCAAAATCTACTGTTGAATTTGCTCAGTTTAGTGGTGAGACTAACTGGTCCTCTTGTGGATAGACTAGCATGCCCTGTTAGCATATTTCCACCCATCCACAGGGCCAAGTCAAAGTCAGTTGCTTAGGAAGCCATTTTGAATTCTAAAACCCTTAACAGCAGCTCGTAAGTATTAATTAAAAGCATCCAATCTCAGTCTGTTGTACTGTGATGGATTGCATGTTGCTGTGATTCTGAAAGCCATACCATCAGTGTTCAAAGGCTATTGTTAATGTTTTGTGCCGTCTGGTCACCAGTGACTCACAGACCCTATGTACAATAAATAGCTGTGAAGGCTGCCCTGTCCTGAGCCAAACTCATTGACTCCAGCATACCTACCCCTATTGCCCCAGTTACTGTGTCAATCCATCTCACCCTGGGTCTTCCTCTCCCTTCCTTCCTCCACCCTTCCAAACATGATGTCCTTTTTCAAGGACTGGTCCTTCCTGGCCATGTTCCTAAAGTATGTGAGACAGAGTCTCAAAATCCTTGCCTCCAAGAAGAAACTTGGTTTCACACTGTCCATGGCAGACCTGGTTGTCCAAGGCTATAAATCTCTTCAAAAGCAGATTACTTCCTCTTTCTTCCCTGGAAAGGCTGGTAGATTTGAACTAATGACTTTTCAGTTTGATAATTGTTTTAAGCATTTCTTAAGCTCAAGGAACTGAAGAACAGATTCAAACCTAGAGTTGCTGTAATCAAGGATGCTTT